CGAAGGAAATTTTTCTAGAAGCAGAGGAGTTGGAGGCCCACTTGCGAAGTTCAAAGCCACCACGATGTAGAAGTTGGATAAGTTGATCCTGTAGTTCAAGAGCAGCCTCAACGGAGTCAGCACCCGTGATAATGTCGTCCACGTAGGTGTGATGACGTAGAGAGTGAGAAGCCTGAGGGAAGGCATCACCTTTGTCTTCCGCTAACTGCATTAAAGTTTTGATAGTAAGGTAGGGGGAGCTGTTCATGCCGTAGGTTGCGGTAGTAAGTTGAAACGTGGAGATTTCCTTTGAAGGGTCGTCACACCGCAGAATCAGTTGAAACTGTTGATCGTCAGGGTGCAATTGTATTTGGCGGTACATTTGCCTAATGTCACACGAAAACACAATTTTATGAGAGCGGAAGTTCAAAATTACGTCACAAATGTCAGTTTGTAATTTACGCCCTGTCAAAAGAATATCGTTTAAGGAGTGACCGGAACTGGTTTTGCTACTGGCGTTAAACACTGTCCTTAAATTGGCCGTGCTAGAATCCTTCAGTACCCCATGATGAGGTAGAAAGTAGTGTGGGTGTATGTCTTTATAACAAAATCTAGTTTTGTCATATGGCCGAGAGTTTGATATTCAGACATGAACGTCTTATACAAGTGTGAAAAATAGGGTTGAGCTTTAAATTTCTGCTCAACAGACAACAAGCGCTTTTCAGCAATGGGCCTAGATTGGCCTAGAGTGGAGGGGTCCGTCTTGAACGGAAGTCGCACAACATAAGGACCTGATTGATCACGAGAGTGTGATTTTTTTATAGTATTCATCACAAAGAAGCTCTTCCTGTGATTTAACCTGAAAGTGAGGGGGTTCCTCCTGTTGCCAGAAACATTGCAGGGAAGAGTGTAGTGAATTATCACTAACAGAGAGAAGAGAGATTGCAAAACCTGACACGGGTTCCGAGTTAGTTGCACAGGGAGCTTTACCCATCAGAATAAAGCCAAGATGAGTACCTATCACATGAGGCATGTGCGTGCCGAGGGAGTAACTTTCATGAGTCCAGAGGAGGGGTAGCAGAAAACTACCTATGATAACGTCAATGCCACCAGGCAAATGAAAAGTAGGATCAGCTAGAACATAGGGCTTGATTTTTGTTAACACTTCCGGTGATATAGCAGTGCGAGGTAAGTCGACGGAAATCTTATCAAGAATGTGGAATTGGTGGTTAGTGGCTATTACTGGACCTGAGAGAGTTTCAAGATTCAAGTAAGTTGACCCTTTAGTACAGAAAGCCATTTGAGAAAGACCAGATATTTTGAGTTGAGAAGACTGGCGTTTTATATTCAAGAGATTGGCAGCGCGCTCTGAGAGATCGATATAATCAACATTTATTGTAAATAGTTTTTTCTAAAAAAATAGCCTTCCTCATAGCTGCATTGGGTTTCTAGACACATTGTGTGTCCAAAAGCCAGAACGACTCCCTTCCCCATACCGCCCTGAGCAATAGGGATCATTGAGATTCGCTCTAACCTTTCCTCTCCCCTTCATGGGCAAGTTTTCATACCTTTTCTTTCTTAGTTTTTGTTTGTTTCTTTTTTTAAATTTTAATGCCTGTATGTATCCTTTGTCTTTTCCTATTTCCCTAGCTACTTTTCTAAACGTCTCAATTGCTTCCTTGTCATTCATCATGTTTTTCATCTCTAGGCCTATCTTATCCAAGACATATCCCTGTTCTCACGTATTTGTCTCCTGAAGTGAGCAATTTATAAATACGTAACTCGTGGTTTTTATTTCTCCACATCTACATACTTCCTCTTCCACCTGGTGAAATCTTCACAAAATCGCCTTGAAATTTTCAATGTCCTGTGACAAACTGCGTTTCATAATGGCCCATCTCCCAATCTTGTTCCAGTCTCTTTCTTCATGATGTTTCTGAGGTATAAATAAGAACATTTACCTTTAAAACGTTAACATAGAACACTCTGCTCCCAACCCATTTGCCACTCATCTAATATCTCCTCTCATTTGTTTTCAAATTAGTCCTACCCTCCTCCTTGTCTTCCAAAATCAATAGCTTATGCAGCGATTATCCAACAGTCCTAAATTAAATGTGAAATCTTCTGGCGACTGTTGGAGAGCACACTTAAACCCAGCACGGAAGGGTGCTTGCTGTATTCAGCTATCAACGACAATAGTATTATTTGTATTTTGTTCGCGTCTACCAGTTAAAGTTTGTCGGCCTCCTCCTATTGGCCGTCCTGGTCAACGTCTTATAGTCTCCATTATGTCAAACGTTTTTTTTGGTTATGTTTTGATTTTGTGCAACATTTTAGTATAACCATCTGTTTCAAATATTAGTGTCAATTTCAAAGTATTCATCTGTTCAAATATAAACAAACATTTTCTCCCTAAGAATAACATAGGTACTTTGAAGGCCACTGGAGCAGAGCCCTGATGGAATTCCAAAGTTTTTTTGTTTGATGGCAAAACTACATGCTACGACCTTTCTAACGACACCTTGAACATGGTGATCGGTAGCACCACCACTCCAAAACAATTATGACAAAAATATGCCTAGCGTATTAAATATATAGATTTATATAACTGTTACCAAATGGACTGAGAGACTTCATTTTTTTTAATTTATTAATGGTTCATTTATTTTGAGCTCAGCAATTTATTATTTGTTATAAATTCATTATTTTTAGGGGCCCCTATCTAGTCATAGGCCTATATATAATATTTAATATTTTATAAAACCTAAAAAGAATTGTTATTGTTGTAATTTTTGACTATATTTTTTAAAGAATTTGATATGGAAATTTGAGTAATTTTTAAAAGTAGAAATTTAAAAGGCCTAACAAAAGAAATGGCTGTGAGCTTGTGGGATAGATGAGAACTCTAAATTTTGAATTTTTTGAAAATCTGAATTTCATGTAGGCCTACCTGTGGGTCACTGGAATTTTATCCCCCTGGAATTTTACCAACCGGGCAAAGCTGACGTCACTATGACGTAGTAGCCTGAGCCCTCAAAAGTCTGTTCGTGGGCGGAATTTTACCACCGCGGATTTGGAAGTCCAATGAAAATAGACAGAGTGTGATTAATTAGACTTGCAATAAAAACCGGAATTTTACCCCTGTCCATATAACTAGCGTTTAGACAACTGAAGATGTACGGGCCGGATTTTTACCCCCGGATTTTTATTCCCCCGGAATTTTCCCCCGGATTTTTACCCCCCGGAATTTTACGGAATTTTACTATATCCCCTGGCCGGATATAGAAATTATTAAGAAAGATTGATTTTCGTATTTCTGTTTTTATTTAATTGTAAACATTTATTATTAAGTAGCCTTTTTTGTAATCCTAAATAAACAGAATTCGCTGTTTAATTTTGATGTTCGGATTTGCGTTTAGGGCCAACAGTTGGTTAATAAGTATGTCAAATCAACTGAGTAGCTTATTTAAATGATAATTGGGTGAACATTTCTTTGTAAATAAACAATAAGGCATATTTTGTTATTGTTACAATACAAACGAAAAACATTTTTTTACCACGGTTGTATAATAAATCGTTAAAGAAATCTTTGAATCAATTACCATTCTGATGTTTGTTTATACGTCATATTAACCCAGTTAGCTTCAAAGATCGAATCCTGATAGATACTCGAATCTCAAAATTAAAATTAAAAACCTGTTCGATTAGTTGATGTTATAAATAAATTTAGATAGGCTACTTAATAATAAAATGTTTACTATTAAATTAAAACCATTCTCTGAAGATAATTAACCATTCTCACTAATTTATATATCTGGCCTGGGGGTAAAATTCCGGGGGTAAAAATCCGGGCCATACATTTTGAGCTGACCTCATGAAGGGGGTAAAAGTCCGGAGGTAAAATTCCAGCCCGTATACTCTAAGTTTTTATAATTTGATGTGTTCTGATTAAATTCACAACCGTAAATAGATACGTTTAATTCCGCGTTTAATCCATCGAACTGATATCGCGAAACTCAAAAGTTTGCTGCCGGAGATTTACCCCCTGGTTTGTGACGTCACGTTCGCCCATAGGGTAAAATTCCGGGGGGATAAAAATCCTATACCCCATTATTGTTTATGGTTTTTTTTTGTTATAAAATGTTTATTACAGCTTATTCCTCTCAAACAGTGAGTTGTTTTTGAACCTTTCCTCCACGGTTTTTCTTGTTGTTAGGTAGAGCTGTGGGCCGGACCTCGTCCCTGCACATGGGATCACGCTTACAATTGTATTCGCTTGGGTTCAGGTTCGAGGGTGTGATTCATAAGTTGGTAGCTACAACAACCAACATGCGAGAAATCCTCCTAAGCCCTGCTACCTCAACAATAGAAACAGACTTTTTTCCCTCTTGCAAAAAAAGTGCATATCTTGCGGTCTCGGCGTCACCGCTGATCGCATCTTGCGGTTCCGCAACACTGATGATCGGCCTTTCGGTTAACCTACAATTCCGATGACCGGGCTTTGCATAATTCATAATTGACACTCTACTGTATTTACTGTTATATTTAGAATTCCCAGAGGGTTTATTTAGTTCCTTCAATTTTCCAGGATATTTCATGGTAATATAAAATTCCCGGATTTTTGTAGAATAGACATCATGCACATCAATAAGATTAGTGTGTGAAGAGTACTGTCAATACTTAACTAACCTAATTAAAACAGTACAAAATAAAAGTTACTAAAACCTCTCAAGTTCTGTTGTATTCATGCTTTCAAAGTGAACTTGTATCAGATTGTAGCAAAATAGTGGCATCTAAAATATCATGGGTGTTGTGTTTCCATATATGATTCGTTAATCATTATCAGGTTTTGGTTTTACTGTAATAGAAGATGGTATCTGTGGTAAAATTTTAATCAGAAGAAGTGCCGTACTAGTTCAGTCTACAAAACTCAACAAGACAGAACTGACATTAAATTATTGGTGTAATTATTTGTCATTTACTATAAGGATTAATTATTTTTATATATTTTAATTGCTTACTTGAATAGGTTGCCATTGTGACATAGGTCAGTTTTCAGATGTTCTTCAACAACTTCCATCATTGGTCGCTCTTTCACACTCACAAATGACAGAGCTGAGCCCTAAAGGACAAATAATTGGACATGAGTTGCCTCCCTTTGTGTGGCCACCTCATTGCATGGGTTCTCAAAGTATTTTATAAAGAAACGTAATGGAACATAGTCTATGTTTTATATTAGCAGTAATAGCTACTAAGTAGTGGACCTTTAGGTCATAAATCATCCTAATGTAAAAAATAAATAATAATTAGGTTTAATTGCAATGTGAGGAAATTTAACTTGATGAACAAGCTATAATTTAAAATAAAAATGAATTAACACAGGGAGAACCTCATAAGATGTCCAGTATTGATTCCAGACGAACCTTTGGACCTACAATGATGAAATTGTGAATTTTCTCACTAAACTAACCTCAAGGAACAACGTACAAATAAAATTTTTTTTTTAACACGTTCGCTATGCGACGCCGCGGTCATTGCCACAGACCGAGGTATACATTTGAATCTTACACATAGACCGGCTGGCACTTGGATAACAGTACACACAGACCACGGGCGAAAACCTGTAAAACTGTGATCATTTACATTGTAATACGCTACAATCGTGTTTCTGAATAAATTATTCTTGTTTTTTTGTATTTTTTTTACAATGTCGCATATTTGCGACGCCCGGTCTACAGCGAAGACAATAGTGAAAATTATCATAGTTTTCTTGAAATAGACTAAACGTCGCATATATGCGACAGTTCATATTTTGTGTTTTAAGGTGAAAGTAAGTAAACAAATAAACAGATTATTCAAGAACAGTTTATAACTGAACAAATATAAAAGCTACATAGGATAATGCAGCATACTTACTGCATACATACATACAGTGATGCAGAAAAGTAGGGATGGTCAAGTCTCGAAATTTCGGGAAATTTTACATCTCGTTACACGAGACGAGATTTCTTTTTGGCCAAGATTTTTATCGAGACGAGAATAAAAAAAAAATAAATAAATAAAATAAAAAATAAAATTTAAAAACGCCTGCAGAATTTACTTTCTGCAGGCGTTTTTAAATTTTTGTTTTTTTTTTTGCAATACCCGCAATACAGGAGCGTGTTGTAGTTGCGTTTCCTTTGCGAAGGCGTTCTTATTAAATTAATTCTTTTAATGTAAATATTACTTTAATTATTTTAATAATATTACTTTAATAACATTTGAGAAGTTTTGTTAAGTGTAAGCAGTGTGAGGAATGTTTTATTACTATAAAAAGTCAAAACAAGTAACTATTTTATTAAAATTAATATTGCTTTTATTTTATGATTTATTTTATTTTAGGATAAGTTGAACTCTATCCTAACTAGGGATGGTCAAGTCTCGAAATTTCGGGAAATTTCCGGGAAATTTTAAATCTTGTTACACGAGACGAGATTTCTTTTTGGCCGAGATTTTTATCGAGACGAGAATTAAAAAAAAAAAAAAAAAAACCCCGCCTGCAGAAAGTCAATGCAATACCCGCAATACAGGAGCGTGTTGTAGTTGCGTTTCCTTTGCGAAGGCGTTCTTATTTAATTAATTCTTCAAATGTAAATATTATTTTAATTACATTTGAGAAGTTTTGTTAAGTGTTAGCAGTGTGAGGGATGTTTTATTACTATAAAAAAAGTCAAAACAAGTAACTATTTTATGAAAATTAATATTTTATTTTATGATTTATTTTATTTTAGGATAAGTTGAACTCTATCCTAACTGATATCACTATGTTTCCTAATCGTAGGCATTTTTAATAATTTAGGCGTGATTAATAAAAAAATGTTATGATGATGTTTTTTGATAAAAGATTGTAAATATTCTTGCCTATTATCATTATTTTTGTATTTAAACAGTCATCTAACAATGTTACAAAATCAGGTAAAAATTCCGAACGTGCATTTCCCGTTGTGTATGAGAAGGGAAATCCCGTCTCGATCTCGTCTCAAAATTTTATGAGAAATAAAAAATCTCGTCTCGTCTCGTCTCGAACTAAAAATCCAATCTCGTCCATCCCTAATCCTAACTGATATCACTATGTTTCCTAATTGTAGGCATTTTTAATAAGTTAGGCGTGATTAATAAAAAAATGTTATGCTGATGTTTTTTTAATAAAAGATTGTAAATATTCTTGCCTATTATCATTATTTTTGTATTTAACACTATTTGTGCTGTCGACATGTTTGAACATAAAAGTTGCATTTATTTCAATGTTAAGCAATTGCGGGAATTCCCGTCATCAGCACCCAACGTGTTAAACAGTCATCTAACAATGTTACAAAATCAGGTAAAAATTTTGAACGTGCATTTCCCGTTGTGTATGAGAAGGGAAATCCCATCTCGATCTCGTCTCGAAATTTTATGAGAAATAAAAAATCTCGTCTCGTCTCGAACTAAAAATCTAATCTCGTCCATCCCTACTTAAAGACCAGTTTTTCCAACTATTATATGACGTCACCAATCATCATATCCACAGACCAAGCGACGCAGTTGTGCGTCAGATATCTCTGTAGACCACTGCAGGGAATTCAGTGCCTTCAAATAGACCTTGTACAAAGATATAAGCATTTTAATAGCATTAGAACCCCGACGCAAATATGCGTCGGCACTCGGCAGTCTATTTTAATGTGACTAGCCGTCGCATATATGCGACGGCAGTCTATGGGTGGAAACCGGCCGTCGCATATGTGCGTCGCTGGTCCATGTGGATGGAAAATTTTGTACTATTGCAGTAGCGAACGTGTTAAACAGGGTTTTCCAAAAATTGAGGGTTGCTAGTTCGAATCTCAGGATGAGTTCTTAAATAAAAATGTAGGTCACAATATACACAGTTTTAAAACCTTTATTACTAGACACACTTTCTTGCAATCAAAATTATTAGATTTTGGAGCAAAGCGAGCGAAGCTCTTATATGGCAACTCTTATGCATTTTGTAATAGGCAAATTCCTCCTAGCCGGCTGAAACAATCAATCTTAAATTTCCCATGGTGATAAAAAACATATCGGTGAGTTAACATCTATATGGTGTTAAAAATTTTCCAAGGAATCCACCCCATGGGCCCTCAAAGTTTCAATATAATCTATATGGAAGCAGAATTTGACACAAAAACAAAGGCATAAGATCAGCTGTTGTCTTTAATTGAATTTTTAACTGTTATCAAGGATATTAGAACAGAAACGGTATGGATCATAAACATAAACAAAAGACGTCAGTAGCAAAAACCAATAATAACGCTAACATATGGTGTGGTCGGTTTTTAAAAGTTAAATTAAAATAAGAATACAGACATGTTTGCTTTTTGGGCTAGTGACGTCATTTGTTTAAGGTCAATATCATTTCTGTTATAATACTCGTGCTGTTAATCATCTTATAATGTAGGCCTACTATTTAAGTACGTGATTAATTCTTGGTTTCGGTTTGAACATTTTAAAACATTTATTACCAACTGAATCAAGTAAATTATTACGGGTATTTTAATAAATGTTCCATTATTTTTTATATCTTGCAAACTAAACATTGTTATGGCCGTAAAAAATAAAACAATAAAATTCAGTAGATATAAATTAGATTGTAAATACAACAAAATAAATCTATGTTGACGGCAGTGTAAAAAATATTAAAGACAGACAAGACTTTGACAAAAAAGATGTGTATTTAAATTGGACATTATTTACAATCATAATAATAATAAAACATGTGTTAGTTCAATTAAAATAAAGAAAGAAGGCAGGCATAAATTAAACATATTAAAGAACACAAATCAATGTGTCAATATGATGAAACATATTACATCTTTTCCAGTGTTGGGGAAGCTACTTTTAAAATGTAGCTAGCTACAACTACTGCTACATTTCCAAAAAAGTAGCTTAGCTACAGCTACAGCTACAGTTCCGAAAAAGTAGCTAGCTACAACTACAGCTACAATGAAATGTAGCTACAGCTACAATTCTAGCTACTTTTCCAAAGACGTTACTTTTTATTCATAACAATTTTACATTAGGTAAGGGCCTAAATGTAAAATCAATTGCAACTACATTTTTATTGAACAAACATTTAAACAAAAAATGTCAGTATTGTATCTAACATTACTTGGAAAACAAATTATTCCTAGATTGTATTTAATTTGTTGGCATTATAGACCTAAAATTACAACAAAAGAACCAAATAGTTGGGTGTCCCATCATATTTAGTACTTATTTTTTTTTTTATATTGCATTATTTTTAAGCATGTTATATGTAAATTTCATTAAGTTCAAAGGACAGACAACAAAACTATATTTTAAAAGCTCATTTTATTTCTTTAATATAGATTCATTTATAGATGTCTTATATCAACAACTAAGACCAATAAAACTGTAAAACAATTACTTTTTTGTGTTACAGAGCCTAGCCCACTGAAATTGTAGTTTATTGCATTTCTTTACTTTTAATGTTAAAAACGACATTGCTATAACTTTTAACCATAGTGATAAGTTACTTGTTCTATGAATAACACTTTTCAATGCCAACAAATCGTCCTTTATTGTCATTATGCATAGGTAGGGCAAATTGTGTTTCAACCTAGTTGGTACAGAAAACAGTATTCAGCAACTTATCCTGAAATCGGCTTTTGATTTAAACATGTAGAAATTTGTAAAGTAAAAATAACATGTAGGCCTAATGTAACAAGTTCTTGCAAGGACTAAACAGATATATTCCTAATAATTGAACTTGGAACTTGGTATTCGTCTTAAATCATAGCATAGCCTAGGAATAGTCCTGTACAAGAGCTGTTAGCAGGAGTAAACTATGCTATTTTTTCAATTTAAGTTTCATGTTATATGGAGATTTGTTCGTTACAATTATCATGTAGTCTAGGCATATCTTAAATCTCATCAGGTAATTTCCTCTTTGTTAATTTAGTAAACCTTTGAAAAATCTTCGTAATCTAACCAAGGAAGGGCTTGTGATGATGAACCACAATCAACAGCTGAAGCTAGCCCAGCTTTCTCATCATTTTAAGGTTTAGTGTTGGTTTCCATTAAAACCCAAGTTGAAACACTATCAAT